AGATCTTTATGGCTTTTGCCTGTGTAGTAATGACATCCTTTGTTCCATGATGCTACGTGAAGTTTAATCATACTTGTCAGACATTGCCATTTTGCCATCCCTGGAGATTACACACAGAACATAAAGGAGAAAAAAAAAAATCTATGTGAACAATAGCAAATCCACAAGGCTTGGATCAGGATTTCCAGATTTTCATTCTCAACACTCCTTCCTTGAGCCCTGCTGTGCAACCACAGCAGGATCCTCCTACTGTTAATCTTGCAGTTCAAGAGAAAGAGTGACCAATGGTCACAATCTGGAGGAGAATAAACTGTGGTTAATTTACTCCCTGCTGCAGATTTGTATTCCTGGGGAGTACCAGACCCTTCAAGGTTGAAAAGAGACATTCTTACCCAGAGAAGTCCTTGCAGGAACCGCATCCTTATTGATCCAAAATGACACCCATGAAAGAACAACTGTGAGTATACAAGGAATGTATGTCTGAATAGTAAAATATCCCATACGTCTGCTGAGATCAAAGAAGATTGTCATAATAATATAATCACCTATCAATTAAAAAAAGAAAAACAATACTGACATGACATTGAAAATGGTTTTTAGTTGTGTCTTCATCTGTTAGTCTTGTTCTACATAGATATTACATGAAATAACACTTTGCCTTACCAGACAAGGTATGAGAAATTTCAGTTGTATTTCTTAACCCTACAAATGCAAACTGATACAATCTCCAGTATTTTGGATCTGCCACTTCAACAGAGGTTTTCTTCCATTTGTATTCAATTTCATTTCTGGGATATCCATCTAGAACAAAATAGAGCAAATCAAGTGTTCAGCCACGGTATATATCAAAGCATGTTTTGTGATGTCTGAAGTTGTTTACATAAAGTGGATCAGAGAGAAAGCCAATCTATAGTCCACCTGATACACTTAAAATTTAACCACAAAATACCTAGCCTCAGTTTTAAGCCCAGCTAAATGTATGATCAATCAAAAACTATGTAAATACAAATGTTTAGGAAGTATCTACACAATATTCTGGAACTCAGAGATGAAAATTTGGCTCAGAATCATCACTATGAATTAATACATAAATGTAATATACATGATCATTAACCGAGCACGAAGAACTTAAAAGGACAAACACTTATTAGTACATAATTTGATAAAATTCCTATTGACATTTATTGCAAATTTCTTTGTCTGTTATTCCCAGAATGGATTTTTGTTGCCTTATTCACTGTCCAGTACTTCAACCTTAAGGAAGTGCAACCCTCTTGATTTTCATGTGTCTCACATGTTGACCCACATTATCTTGCAGAAAGGCAGAAATTAACTTAAGCAAGACTCACTTGTGTGGCACAACTATTTAACCGATGGAGCTACCAAAGCTCATTTAGTTGGAAGTGCTCAAGAAGGAAGTACTAAATGAAAACATTAATTTAAAAAGAATCACTGAAGTTTGATTTCATTGCCTATTAAGTCTCACATTTAGGAATAAGTCGTTTAGCTGTGTTCAGGTGGTTTGGGTTTCTTTTGCCAGTAATAGCACAATTCCCTTAGGAACATTTTTTTTAATATAGTTTATATTAAAGAAATGAAACCCAAAAGTTGTGTTTCATGCTCACATAAATAAGTCCCACTGAAAGGAGAAGGACTTCTTACACTGATTAAGCATTTGCAGGAACAGGTTGAAGAAGACAGAACTTATTTTTCCTTTTAAGTATACCACATGGAACTAATTCAAAGCTGGCAAGTCTGGCAGGCATAGAAAATAAAGCTCTTCCAGGGCAATAGATTTCCATCAACTGGAATGGGCATTGTATCAGACTCCTAAGCAATATGATTATTTTTAAAGTTGCAACTAAATGAAATCCATGTAATTCAACTCATTCATTACTGCATTTAATAACGCATTAAAAATGCAACAAATCTAATCAAAACATAAACAGCTCAGTTCCTTCCTTCACTACAAGACTTTAAAAAGTAAACACTTGCTCTCTTGCTGCCAGAATTTAAGGAAATTTAAAGCCTGAATGTAAAGGGGGAAAAAAAAAAAAAAAGTATTTTACCACCTACAGCTTGAAAACTCCAGTGGACAGGAGTGTTCATCCATAGGAAAGTTATGAAGCTGAAGATAACATTCAGCATTAATTGTCAACCTAATTAGAAAAGGAAGGAAAAAAAAAAGAAAACAGATTATATTCAAGCATCCAGACACTTCAGACAAGTAAGTAAAGAACATGAACAGAAATAAATTTTGCCAATTAATGGATGTTATGCATAGCCAACTGTGTATCTGTAAAAAACATCCAGCATCACCTCCAAAGAACAAAAACTTTCATATGCAACCTGAGGACCTGCATTGTTTCAGTTGGCATTTTGAGCCATTTAAAAATTTTCAATTGATTTGGGGGGATCTCTCAACTCTCTACCAGAAATAGGGGATAAAAGGGAGGGACTGAAGGCAGGGCAAGGAGGGGAGTTTATAATAGCAAATAAAGGAAACTGCTGAAGAACACATTTGTCAAGTCAAATTGCATTTGGCATCATTGTATCTGGTGGCTATATACACAAGAGAGAAAGTGCGGACACTCTTGGGCTTGCTCTATACTCATGGAAGCAGCTCTGGTGAAGACAGTAGTACTGATAGGAAAGAGCAGACTTGATATTTCTACTCATTTACTGTCTAAGGCATTCAAGTAATTCAGGCAGCTAAAATACATTTTTAAAGTAGTTTAGGACTCATAACAGTATCAGCTGAATCACTTGCTGCTTTTGAAAATACTATCACAGATTTCCAAAGACTTTCCAAGCAACAAATGCAAAACCCAGTTCTGATAACTTTCACTAGGAAGCTACAGTAAGGGGCTAGACTACAAACTGCCTTCTTTGCATTTAAAATAGCTCCTCCTTTGTTGGTAACACAGTGAAGAAAGCCAGAATGTCTTCTAAAATCAACGTTGAAAATTAGCATAATGCTTACATACTGGACTGTATGCAATACTTACATACTAGAAAAAAAGGGGAAAGGAAGATTCTGCTATGCGCTGCCAGAAAGCCCTATAAGTCTGTGAACAAAGTAGTTCTTCCACGCAAAGCATCACTAGGACCTTTCTTGAAATCTGTCCTGACCAAGGAAAAGTTTATAAGGGAAAGTGTATTTCTTGCCATATACTGGGGAGGGGGCTAGAAAAAGAAACCCCACATTTACAAGTAAAACACTTGCATCCTTCTGAAGATGCTTTACAGATTGCCAAAAACAGTATATGTATTTATTGCCTTTGTTTTCCATTTTCAACCTTTGGATAGTCAAATACTTAAAGAAAAAGAAAACAAAACCAGACTTTTATTAAAAGCCACACAGCTAGCTCTGGAATCACTGATGGGTGCACTGGACAGACCAAAGACTACCCTCAGAGGAGACTCGGTAAGTCTGACTAACAGAATCACCACATCTGCTCCCTCAAGTACCAT